AAGAAGGTGAGAGGGGAGGTCAGAGATGTGGAAATGATGGAGGGGAGAGGAAAAATCAAAGAGAATTACTTCTTCCAGACATGTTTTAAAATGAAGGAGAAAAGGAATGTTTTGTACAAAGAGAGGCTCTCATACAGGATGAGTGTCAAGCCTTTTGTGCAGGATCTGTCATTAACACCCGCATAGTGCCAAATGATGATAAAATATGTCTGGTGGAAAGTTTGGAGGAAACACTGTGGCCTTTATGTTTTTGGAACAATGGCTTTCAAAGTCTTATTAATATTTCATTTAGCACCTGAAGCAGCATATCAAAATATTCTGTAATAATTTACGTTAAATTGGACAGTGCATTTTCCCCCACTGAATTATTTGTTTGACAAGGTGTAAAATAAGGTTGACTTTAAACTCTGCCTTTGGATTAGGCCTCATTTGCGGTAAAGACTTTGTCAGGGTTCACTCAGTGCAGTTAAAGCTAAAGGTACCTGAGCACACAAACTCACTAAAGTATTACAGTCTCACTCTGGGGCATTTATGCACAAAAACCAGAAACACACACACAGTCTGAAACCTTGCTTTTCAACCTCTGTGGTAGGTAGAGTTACAGAATTAACATGAGTCACTTTGGATACTCTGTGTACCCCCTTTTTTAATTAGGAACAGACTCATTTACAAGGTTATACAAGACACTTCGTTTCCATTGATGCTGGAGAGATAGCGAGGAGAAATCTCATGTGGATCCACACTGATAGGGTCTGGGAAGGAGAGGGCAGTCAGTTGGGTCTTTGTTGCAGGAGGACAGTGGAAGTAATTGGAGAGGCAGGGAGCAAGATGTGTGAAAGGCTCTAGGACTGAGGGCAGGGCCCGGGCTCCCATTAAGCAGCACCAAAGCTCTCTGTGGAGGCTTCTTTTATACCGCCCACGTCTTGTTGTGTAAATGGACATATACCCCTAACCAAACTGTGAAAGAGAGCATTGCACAAAGAGGGACCAAATCACCAGTTACAGATGACCTACTGGGCCAGGGGAGCTTCCTGATCTAGGCTTTGTGTTTTGGGAAATGAGAAGGATGGAGAAGTAGGAAGGATCAAGATGGGTTGATGCACCTGATTTCTGGAACTTACATGGGGGGTCAACTTAAGCTGTACTAATCAATATTTGTACGTTAACTATGCATTGAATGATGTGTGTAATGTAAAAAGGTCGCTACTGATGAACCCACTGAGAAATGTCACCCGACTCCGCAGCATATCAGAGCTTTATAATGTCTTTCAGATGACAGTTTCTGCTTTAAACTCTGTTTAGTTCATACTCTGCACCGTCAACACAGTTTCCAGCAGCAAGTCGCTGTTTTCATGAACGAAGTACCACTGTAAGGTACCTATCCAGCACCCAACGATAGACAGACAAAATTAGCAACTAGCTGTCATGTCCTCATGTCATTGACTAAGTCTATGATTTTTGTCTGCCATTGAACTGGTTGTTGGATGGGTTGATGCAAGCAGCTCTTAACTGACTTTAATATATGATAATATGGTCAAAAATGTTATCACAATTTCATATCTATCTGTAGGTTTTATATCTTTTGATATCAATAATTATTACCATAAGTATCAAATCATTATTTCTTTTGAGTTTAAAGGCTGATTTTTGCTCCCGAGTGAAAATTGAAGAAACCTGATGGTTAATTGTTGTTTAAACTCTTCTTTATGGTCAACACTTGAGGCCAAACAGTGGATCACTTCACAAATCTGAGGTACAACATTCAAATCAATTATGATAAAGTCTTTGTCAACAAATTTACATGAATAAAATGGAGTAAAAGCTTTTTTCATTTTTCCTCAACAAAGTAATTATTTAAGTCATTATTTGTGTATGATTCAAGTGAAGAATAAACATTTATTGAATCTTTAATGAACATTTGTTATATTGTTATTGAAAAAAATATATTAATATTTTATAATAATATAATATATTTATTGTCCAGCCCTAAGAGTGGCTTAGAGTATCAATGTGGCTTGAAATGCTACGGGTGGTGCAGCTCTGTCATCAAGTGTTTTGGAAGCCAGGAATCACTGAGCCTTATTATTGATCAACATCCATAACAGGTGATACAATTCAATTACAATTGAAAACTGTTTGCAAGAGACAGAAATTGCATTAAAAGGTTTCTATGCAGCAGGAGGTTAATGTGTGGGAAAAGGGTCAAAGTATCCAGCATCACAAGTTCTGGAGAATCCATCAAGCTTGACCTTCACAAAGAAGGTCCTGGACTGGATACCCGCTGAGCTCTGTTCGGCAGTCACCTAATCCGTGGAGTGGGCCACTCTAATTCAACCCTTATGCCCAGCGGTTGGCTCTGCCCTGCCCTCCTCTCCTGGCTTTCCATTCACAATGGTGACCCTCCTTCCAGTAACCCAAACCTTCTTACCCCAATGACTCCTTCACCTCACCACACAATAGGCCCTGTTCAGCCCTTCTGCCCTCAATCCCACTTCATAATGCAATGGGGCAGATGAAGGGTAGATCAGAGTACAGCAAAGTCCTGTTTACACAACAAGATGCTAGGTGTGATCGAGACAACGCATTATCCATCTTCCAACCTTAGTCTGGCCTGCATTAGTGAACATGTCCAAGATCAATAATGTTAGAGCCATTTTCTTGGGGACCATCCGTCTATGGGGAACACAAATCCTGAATTCATTCATACTGTAGTTGTCAGATATTTCAACCCAGCCAACCTAATGAAGGTACAAGCTGAAAGGTTAGGAGATCACCAAAGTCATTGGGATTCATGTACAAAATTAGGTCTAGATCCATCAGATAGACATTGACATGCAGGAGGAGCTAGATGGTCAGAGAATCACTTAAGTGATAAAGATTGGTCCTCATCATCACCAGATATATATATATATATATATATATATATATATATATATATATATATATGTATATATAATTTTATTATGTTATTGTTATTCCATTTCAGTGTTGTCAAGATATTTTACTAAAACTCAAATGTGTCAACACTTTGGTGGTGCTAGATGCTAGGGAATCAGGGGATCTTCAAAGTCAGGGGACAGGAAGTGAAGGGAGTTATTCAATTTATCAGAAGCAGTCAAGGCATTCACACATATTGAGATACAAATTGAATATGCTCATTAAAAACTACTGAAAGACAGACCAATCTTGAGGGGGATTTTAATTATTCCAGACCAGGGAGGTCACCAAGATATGACTTACACTGTTTGAAACTGTGTATCGAAGTCTGTGTTTAGCAGCTGGCCCTTGTTACAATCCCATAAAATGTGAAGAGCACCTTTAAGACTGAATGGCTTAATGATTCCTTAGCTCCCAAAGCCTGTGAAGGGGGTCCTGCTGGTGATGGCGTGTTGAAGGGTGGGTGGCATAGATATCCCACACAGGATTAGAGCCATGGAGTTGGAAGAGAAGGAGGGGGAAAATAAGAGGGAATGCCCCAGAAACACTATACTGCCTGACACGTATGGAATGGACTCTTTGCAACTCGACTAAAAACACGACTGCCAGAAAGAGAGAAGATCTGCAGAATCCCGTCTTGTCCACAGCCAAGTATTCAGCCTGTGAAACAGAGCTGTGCATACTGAGCACATGTACATTCTGCCTGTAACATGATTGATGCCCAACTCCATACCTTGTCTTTCAATCAGATCTACAGTAGTTAAATTGTCGCTTATTATTGTTCTAATTTAGTCCGATTTTTTTATATTTAGAAAATAAAATACGCTCAGAGTTTTTGCAATATGTGTTTTTTTTACAGATAAAGACAATGATTGGTTGATTCATTAGGCTAACACTTTGGTCCAGAGTATGATATGAATGTTGACTAATGGCCACATTGCAATGAAATTCGCCATGGATATCTGTGATCCCCAGATGATAAATTCTATAATATATGATTTTTGTGAATCTGATCTCTTACCTACACTGACATCTGACAATTTACGGTACCTACAAAAAGTGTATGCACCCTTTTGTACTTTTGTTTTTTTTTTTTTACCACACTGAATTGCAGTGGATGTGAGTTTGTTGATATTAACAAAAAAAAAAGTATTAACGTCAACAAATTGATTAAGGGAATTACAAATTCAGCCAGCTATGCTGCAGTAGTTCTTAAAAAATGTGATGTAGTCTCATTAACAAATGACCAGTGCGACACATGGATGTGAGGTTAGAATGGCAGTGAGAGTGACTGACTGTAGCAGCAGAGCAAACTGAAACCAAAATTACAGGGAAATAATTATACACTTTTTTCTACACCCAATATGAAATATTTCCCCATTTACCAGAAACTTGACTATTTATATTTCACCACTACATAATATTATCTCATCTTACCGTTCATTTGAAAATGGGCTTGGCCATTACAAGAACTTAATTCACATCTAATACCAATTTAAATACAACCCATTTCAGGAACAACATAAGAGCAGAAACTTGCAGTCAGCAACACATTGGACAACAGCCTTTTAACCTTTTGATGTTGCTAAAAGCTGTTGTATGTTGTAAACAAACTAACTCATATGTCATGCAGTGCAACATTCACAGAAGTATTTATAGCTGTTAGGGCGGGGTGATAATTGCACAAATGGGGATAAAGACAGAAGCTTTAAGCTAATCTTTCCTCAAAGGCATTCATAGTGTTGCACTCATTTATACATACATAAAATGACAGATGTAGTTTGTGTGAACGACAGTAAAAATACAGTGATACTATCAGACTGTTGGCAGGCAATGTTGCTTATGGAACATTTTATGAACAGCAGCAGCAAGTACCAGTGGCAGCAGGCAACATGGCAGAGCAAAAGAGTGAGCAGAGCATTGAGGGCTTAAAGAGACAAATGGCAAAAAGATGTGCTTCATATGTTATAGTAGAGCACATTATGTGAGCATAGCTAACTCAAGTTATCTGCTTGATCTAGATCACAGTCACTTTATTTATATAAAAAACAATAACACAGGAACAAGCTGAAATAATTAGAATTTATTTCTTTAAGAGAAGTGAAATGAGTATTATGCAGTACAGGTGAATAAATGGCATTATGATTTCAAGAAAGAAAACAAGTTTGTACCATTGAAAATATGTATATGTATATTGAAAAGATAGACAACTATGAAAAGAAAACATGGTATAAATTAAACACCATATACTTTACAGCACAAGGCAAACTGTATAACAGATTAGCAATGATCTTTTAGATGAATAAATCTGTAAATAATCTTTGTTTTTCGTATTACTGAAGAATAAAAGTGAGGTTGACAAGAGCACAGATACACAAAAAATGTCAAAATTACAAATGCCCATAAACAACATTGGTTCCCTGAAATGACACAAATGATCTCTTACACATTTTTAAATCAAACATATCAAGAAATATAAGAACATGCAAACCACCAACTTCCCACGATCCACATAACGCCAAGTATAATGTATGTGACAAAGAAAGCTCCAAGAGTCCAGTTATCTACTACACAAATTAAGTTTGTGTCAGAGGAGGGATCCAGACACCACTGTAAAGCTGCCACAGGACGATGGCATCTCAACACATTCTCTCAGTAACACAAGGCTAAATTTCACTCATAATAGCTATAAATGATTTCATGAGAAACATTTTATCCTGCCAGCTCACTTCACCCAACGCGTCTCCAAACATAAACTCCACTGACGTCACGGAACTCCAATATTTAAAAGAAATAGCTTGTGCAAGACGTTCCAAATTAGTAGCATTTTCAAAACAAAACACAAAACACATTTGGTGAAATCTTTTAGCTGCTCAGTGTCAGGCAGACTGGAACATATCCCAGCATGCATGAGCAAAAGGCAGGGAAACATCAACACATATTTAATTTAGTGTCCCTGATCAGCCTGGCCTGTCTGTCTTTGGACTACATGAGGAAACCCAAGGGCTTCTCTGTATAAAGCTGTACAAACCTCGTGAAAAGGCTAAGGGTTAGACAGTATTTCCAGTTTCTTTATGTTTTCCAAATGCTTACTTGCTACCAAACATGAAACTTGTAAAGATGTTCAGCGAGCGTTATAGTCCAACTCCTAAATCTGTAGTCACAACAATCTGCACACATAGAGCCGATGTTTAGCAACCCAGCCAGTTGGTGATGCTTTACATGACAGGTTACTATTGGCAAGTTCATGTCGCTAGCTTTCTATGAATGCAGCACTTAGAAAGGACGTCTTGGGTTCTTATCCACTGGCTAGTGCTGTTGTTTGGGAGTGGAGTGTGCAAGTTCTCCCCATGTCTGTGTGGGGTTCCTCTGACAGCTCCCGTTTCCTCCTATAGTCCAAAGACATGCAGGTCAGTTAATTGGAAACTCTAACATCCCTTTTTCACTGCAGGACCTTTTCAGGTTCTCAGGTTCTGCTTTTTTCTCCACCCACTACGCTCCTGGAAATGAACTTCAACACTGCCCAGGAGGTGATCCTAAAGGCAAGTTCCAGGTACTTTCAGCAGCTGCCGGCAGTGCTGCCACTCACTGTTGGTCAATTCGATGTATCACATCACATCACAACAAGAACGACTACAACAAACACAACAGTAGTAACTACCATTTTGTATTTGGGGAGAGGAGGCCTTTCAGAGGGAGTGTGGTTAGAGATGAGGGTACGCCACACAGCCAGGCGGGGCCATGGCAGTTTTGTCTATAACTGAAGACTTTGAATTGGCCTTCCTTAGGAGTAGGATCAAACAATTGTCTCGCTTCACGCTCAGCTCCTCACCATGCATTGTGAAAATGTGGGAGGTGTGCGAGTTGGATGCGAGTTGGATGTGTTTTTGATATTGAAAACAATAAATACCTATGTGAGCCGATGGAAAAGTTCACGACCGCACATCCTGTGAAACGGCAGACACGAGAAGTGTCAGGTTTGTACCACGGATGTAAAGGAGAGATTGAGGTGAACGGGTGAGGGGAGAGAGCCTGTTGGGTGAACCTATTTTACCCTAAATGCAGCGGAAGTGTCCATGACACAGCGGCTGGTGTGTGGTTACCATACAGACTGGGCCTCAACATTTCTCAGCTGCCTCTGCAGGGAGAGAGAGCTGCTCCATTCAGACCTGCAGTAACTTGAGCATCTTTTCTCCGTCCCAGACTCAAGCTCACCTCAGACTTGTCTCATCTTTCTGCCAGGGCGTCTTGACTGAGCAGCAGCCATGTGCTCTACGTTATCCCCAACACACTGCATTTGTAATTTCAGCTCAGGGGGTTATCCCAGGATATTTCACTGCTATCAAGAGTCATGTGGAAAGAGAGTGATCTGAGTGACAGGAAGAAGCAGGAAAAGATTTGTGTTACTTATGCACACACTCATGTTCCTGGAAAATAACACTGTCATCAGCAAATCTACTCTGCTTGAATAAAGGTTAGATAAAACAAAGCCTCTTTGAGTCAGTCATGATCCTGGCAATATTAATAAAATGTAAACCATTCATTCTTTTTACCCACATAAGTTATTTGTATGAGATGCAAATGTAGACTGCACCCAGTTCACAAATCCTTGGCGATGCCAACATGCAGAAATTAAAGTCAGCTTGGCGCAATCTGCAAAGTCAATTGCTGTATGATTAAGGTTGATTGTTTGCCATTGTGTTGGCTTTTAAGGAGTAGATTGGTTTAGAATGATTTTCACCCAAACTGTATACTCCTTAGGCATAAAAAGGTTCCACTGTTAACTGCTGCCAGAGGATCCTGTTCAGTTTATAGGGAACAGGCCTCTCAGTAATCTTCCACTAGAAGAAAGAACAGAAAAATAGAGAGAAAACATCAAAGAGCTGCTGATTATGGTGCAGAAAAACCTGCCAGGGCAGAACTTATACAGAACTTATACACAGCAACTGGTATTTTTCAAATTTTCATCTGAACTTCTATATGATACATTTGTCACCTAATTTAAAAATGTCCCATGCACAGTGCAGCAGTGTCACCAGCATATCAGACAAGATAAAATCTCTAATAAGACAAACACTCCAATTATAAAATGATTTTAGTTTTAAAATCAACGTGCAATTTAGAGTCCAACTGGTAATTATGGCAGCTGTTTTTTTCTTTCAGAGGACTATTTGCACCACGTTTGGATTTGCATGCCATTTTTTCATAAATGAGATGTAAAGTGCAGTCTAAGCTTAAGCGACTAAATGTGTAACTTGCACCCAAGAAACAAGCTTTGTGAATGTGGAAATATATGTGCAAATATATTATTGTATAAATTTGTTCAATATGGTGGACAGCAAACATCCCTACATTCAAGGCTGACAAATATGACCCTTTTTTAATCTAAAAAGTCTCAAGTCAAAGCTTAGTATATAGTCAGTGTTTATTATCTAAAATCCCTGTCCCATTCATCCTAAACCAGAGAGCCTCCTGATTCAAAGATCTGATGAGCTGCAGCGGCTTTTGACTTTGGGCACTACTAGAATCTCATCCCCATCTCGAATGCTATAAGAATGGAGGGCCCGGCAGCCACACTTCAACTCCTCAGGTCCGAAGACCGAACACATCTCCCGGTTGATGTAGAAGAGCCTGATCCCATTGGTGGGCAGCTGCAGCAGAGATCTAAGGTGTTTCTTCAGGTCGCCCACCGTCTGCTCCAGATGAAGACTGACTGCCTCCACCCTCTCGCCCCAGCGAACATCCACAGTGGTGCAGCGGGGGCTCAGGTCCACCTCCGCCAGCGGGGCCAGCTGACCGTACTTGGATACAAGGATGTGGTACCTGGGAGAAAGCAGGACTCATGTCAGATCACTGAACGGTTTTGTTTTGTTTATGGTTAAGACTACGGAATAACTACTCAGTGAGAAGAATACTGTGAGGATGTTAAGGGGGGGGGGGGGGGGGGGGTCAGTGTGTGTGTATGTGTCTCTGGGATGGGCTGGGGGGTGGAGGCTGAGTACGTAGCCGTAGCCATGCTGTTTGTCATGTCACGTTACTGTTTGTCAGTCCTAAATATCTTCTAAAGCTCTGAAAATAACACAGTTTCAGTAACATAGTTAGTACAATGTTGTTTCTCTGCCTTTGCTTATCAGGCTTGCTAACGCTACAGTCAGTGCTCTGGTAAAGGCACAGCTGAAGCCCTATTGTTCTGGTTATCATAATTCATTAATTCATTGTCTTTCTTTTCGCTAAAACTGTTTGTGCAGCAAAAACTGTCAGACCAAAACTCACCAAAATTGGCTGGTGGGTTGCAAATTCAACCCACTAAGCAGGTGCATAAAATGACTGAAGGTGGTGCTGGTTACATTTTTGGAATTATCTCGAAAATCATTTTCGTTTTCAATTCATCTGCATCTTTGCTTTAATGGTCTTCTGCAAAGATGCAACAAGGGCCATAGTCTGGACTCACCCAGGGATGTTGTACTTAAGCACTCTTAATCTTTCTGGTAGAGAGGAGGCTTGTAATGGTGTGAAAGACCGACACATTTTGTCTACCATAGAGATAGCAACTTCAAGGTCTATTAAAAAAATCTCTTTCCATTAGCCATTATTGCATAGTTTCTTTCTCGACGTCGGCCAAAAATGTTTTGTGCCACATTTTAGCCTTTTCCTTAAATTTCTAGAATGAAATTAAAAATTAGCATAAAAACAGGTAAATGGAAATGTACCAAGTGTGTTTAAGAAACACTGAGTTCTCTGCCTTGCATGCCGTGAGAAAGCTCTCAGCCGCCTCAGGGGAATGCGTGCTCAAGATAAGGACCCAGGAACGATTAAATAAAATCCAGGAGAAAAGGCTTGTGCTTTCAAAGCTACTGTAACAGCTGGGCCAATCAAAGCAATTTCCCTTCCCTCCCCAAAACTTCCCCACAAAGCCTGGCCTGAGGTTTCTGGCCAAAGCTTGTGGTCCACCCTGGGAATTCTCCTCTAAGGCCACAGTGTACAAAGTGCCATTCTGAGAGAAGCCATTTAGCTAAAAGGCTTCATTTAAGGCGGTAAGCATGGCATAATGGGGCAAATAATGCTACAGGTGATAACAATTCAGCATTCCTATTGTCTTTTCCAGCATTCTTTGCTAATGGAGAGTAATATAGCAGCAGATTTGGAGCTCATACAGATCTATCTAGTCCGCATCTTGGCAGACTTCTCTTTTGGCGTTTCATCCCATCTCATTTTCTCGTTTCTCCAGTCCTCTAGTTGAAAGATGAACTGCTTAAAAAGTTTAAAATGTAGATTTCCCCTTGTGGACTGGCCCTCAATATCCACTGCTCCAGGTCCAGTTCCCTTTCAGTCCCTCTGTATGTATTCTACTGGATACTCCGACTCTCAGATTTCTTTTTCAACCCAGTAATCTCTTTCATTCTTTCCATGCAACTTTCCTCCCTGTCCATCCACCACATTTCTTTCTTTAAATTTTTTGGGGGTTTTTGTTGAGATTATTAAAGGTATATCAGTATTTATCAGTCTGCTTTATGGTTTGAGCTGCATTTACAGCTACTCAAAGCTGGGCTGTGTCAGATGTGTTCACCTGAGAGGCTGTGACCCACCCTGCAGTGCTCTGATCTCGGGGTAGCAAGGCCGCAGCCCCGTCAGAAAGGAAAGGAGATAGCGGTGTTTTCACTGCTTACTGAGTGTGTCCGACACCCCGATAACACCCACATGCAGTCATGGTGATCCCTAACCCTGGACCTACACTGAGAAGCCTGGCTTCAGACCAAGACCTCGAATACATTTAAATACAGGAAGGAAAGTAATGAAAACAGACAAAATTAACATGTTTGAAGGCCTTTGGATAGTAGTGGTAAAGTATAACATGATGTTAACTGCGACATGGTCTTAAATAATATAATGAATACTTTAACATAATCTTTGAGACGATTCATACTAGCCAGGAGTGCTATTTCAGCTCCTGTGACATCAGAAAACAAAACAATCTCTCAACTTAAGGTTTGAGGTTGACAGAGTAGGTGTATACATAAAGAAAAAAATCAACCTGCTACCTTGTGTATCAGTTTTCCAATCAGTGAATTCCCAGCACAAAGGACTCATTGAGCAGAGAGAGACTGGTGGCATTGTCTCCCAAAGGTTAGTTTCCCCCAGTCAGGGACTACACCTTCCTTCACAAATCCCTCTCCAACATTCTGCTGAGGTTAAGTGGAATGCAGTCATTGAGGAGCGTGGGCAATTATTTGACCGCTGTCAGCCCCTGAGGAGAGCTTTCTAAATTATTATATCACATACAGTAAATTTATTTTGAGGACAACGAACGGGTTGTTGCTATTGTTACAACTTCACAGGTGTTCACAGAGGCACGAGTTATCTGAGTTTGTGCTACATATTCAGGGTTTTGATTGATGCGCGTTATCAAAGACTGACAGCAATATCTGTGAATATTTGAGATGCTGAAACTCTAAACCTGTCCATCAAACCATGGGACAGAAGTACTGATATATTAACCTGCCAGCAACAATTACTATTGGTTTAACATCTTCACTCTCTAGCAGTGAAAACAACTAAAACCCACTAATATCACATGTATCAAGACATTAAATACCTGGTTGATACAAATACACACAAAGCTCCATGGGTTGGGATCAATAAAAGCATAACGTTTATGGAGTTCTGTTGAAAATAACCAAAACATAGGGCAAAATGTAGATAATCTCTGGTTATACAGGTAAAGTTATGTAGCCTATAATTTTAATTCAAGTTAAATAGGCTACAGCTGTGTAGCGCACAGAAGCATTGCTGCGGTTACTCTCAACAGAGCACCTGCCATTTACTCGCGAAGCGCTGTCTTACTTACTGTGTTACTTCTCCCACATGCTGCATCCTGCCTAAGCCTCCCTCCACTGCTTGTTTGGGTGGGTCATTTGCAAACTGATCAACATCCCACCCCTCCTGTGACCCATGGTTTTAAAGGTGTAAAGCACTCTGAGCTGCATGCTGCATGTATGAAGGGTATTATTATAATTACTTAGGATTAGTGCCATCCATGTGCCATCCGTGTCATACTTTGTAGGCTTTTACTAGGTCACAATGCATGTGCCTAGTTTGATATGGCTAGGCTGTACCTAATCAAATCTATATAAAATACCCCAACCACTTTTTTGGAATATTTATAATAATTTATACATATAATTTGTAATAAACCCATTTATAATAAATCCTAGGGTTCAAATGTTGTAAATGCTTCAGAAAGGTGTTGATAATTTGTTTTGAATTTGAGCTGGACAAGCTAGCATTAGCTAATTCTGCAGCTTTAGGACTACAACTAAGAACATCAAACACTCTTCATTTGTATACCAGGGTGCAGGAAATGCCTTGCCCTGTCAGACAGGGGTTCTTGATAGCCACAACTAGATGATTGGTATCGGTCCACATTCTGTCGTTTTGTATGAAAACAAGTAAGAAGTAAATGGTACCCTCCTTTACAATTAAGGGTTTGTGACAGTATATACTTTAATACATGCATCCTGTATGTTTGAGTACCTCTGAGGAAGCTCCTGTTCCGGACAGTCCTGGTAGTACCTGATGAAATATCTCTCAGCATCCTCTCTCTCTCCAGCAGACACTGCACCCCCATTCAACACCACTACAGATGGTAGCCTGCAGGCAGGTATGAGGATTAGACAGTGAATAAGTAAACATACCTGTATATTCAAAACAGTAAGGATTTGATGTGTATAGGTGTAGAATTTCAGACTCACTGTGCTAAGAGGAGGCTACGTCTCTCGTGGGTGGTGTAAGGCTCCAATAAAGGAATCCCTTTTGCTTTGACTTCCTCCAGCTTAGGAAAGAAATTCAGCCTTTCAATGTCCTCCCATTTACTAAGCCCTGAATAACACAACATCAGTTTTAGGGCGACAGTGAATATTTGTTTACAACTAGCACTGAATATTGGATGGATGAACACATGCACAGCCTTCATTATCCCTCTCAGACCTGAATTGTTGAGGTTGATGGTGCGCAGGTTGGGGAAGAGGCACCGCAGTGTTTCTTGAGTGTCACCCACAGACTCCACAGAGTTATTGGCCAACACCAGTGTGCTCAGACTTGGGTACATCAGCCCAAACTTCCTCACTTCTGCCCAATCCTGCAGCTGGTTTTCTGTAATCTGCAGCAGGCGTAGTGACGGACAGGACGTCTGGGATTCTGACACGGTGTTGTAGCCATTCAGGCACAGGAAAAGCTCCTCAAGCCTGGATGATGCAGTGAATTAGTTATGTTTGAGAAATATAAAAGTAACTACAGCAAAACAACATTCAGGCCAAATCTGCATTTGATAAATCTGTTGAGCTCATGTTGAGCTTATGTTTCATCTCTTGACTCTTTGTGCTTGAATACAGGGTCTATGTTTGAATCAAGGACATGCTGCTGTCACCCTGTTAATGCATCATGCCCACTGGCTCCTGCTGAAAAAGTTAGTCTTTCAAAGCAGGCTACAAATATATAGATTCAAAAATAATTTCCTACAACAGCCCCCCAACAGTAAATCATGAATTTGTTGGGGGACTATTTTCACCAACACGTAGATTCACATTTGGTACTGGAGTCAGTATTTACAGCAGCATGGTGGTATGTGTAGGCTTGACTCAAAAACTTGATGTCTTTTTAATAGTTTCTGCACAACACTGAAGCACTATGGCACAGAAGAATAAGATCAGCACTTACTCTGGTGTATGCTGCGTGAGTGTGTGCACGGTGTCCCAGCTGACGTGTGTGTTAATGAGGACAAGTTGTCGGACCCTGGAGAAAACCTCAGCCATGCTGGGCTCCAGCTCTACGCCGCTCAGAGGGTTCATGCTCAGATTGAGGAAGTCCAGGTGGGGGATGCTGGAAACGATGGTGCTGATCTGGCAACCCACAAGCATTAACAGAAAAAACAAACAAAAACGAAACCATAGAGACAACCCATTAAGTATACATAATCCACTTTGATTTCGTTAATCATTTATGACAGCTAATACACATTTATGTGATTATTAGTTATTTGTGGAGGTTAGTATCTCTGTGGTGTTCAACTATGATCTGGTATGAGACAGATCACCGACCTAAACTTTGTAACAGTATTTTAGATTTTGTGAAGATTTTGTATCAATAGCCAACCAAAATGACTTAAAATAAAGTGAGAACATTACAGTTGTGTGCTTTTTTTATTGATTAGCGTGGCTACCAGCAGGGTTTGATTCCCGAGTGTCAAATAATGTCATTCATCTTTTAACATTAAGCTAACATAGGCGTATTAAACTGTAGGTATTTTGAGCTGTCTGCAAGAAAAGCACAGGTGTAACTACTAACATTAATAGTGGCCCTGGTCAAACATTCATACTATGTGCACAGGCTAAGCTGTAGACAAGTGCCTCCTAATAAATGTAACGACACATCGGATGGCTAAGATGGCTACGCAGATACTATGTGGGGATCGCAAGAACTGTGATTGGTACTTGGGCTGATTGTGTTTTCTCCTTTCAAGATGCCAGTACAGGCTTGTTATCTTCTCTTGTGTCTCCACTGCAACCCTTCTGCTTAATGCAAACCCTGCTCTCTATTAGTGAATGAAACAAAGTAAATACGATGGCCTCATGGAACACATACATATTCATCAATGAAACAAGTCTGACCTTTGCACCATCTTTTGTATCACCAAGTGAATGAAACAATGTAAAAACGGTAAAAACCGGGGAATATAATTGAAGCATGGCACTGCCCAAACACGTCTAATACAAATAACGCTGTCTTAAATAACAGCACAAATAAATTAGATCAATGAGTTCATTTCTGCCTCAGGAGTAGCTCTGCTTTGAGAAATATTACTGTAAGTAAACCCACTCCACTCTTTTCCTTTTCTAAGCACCAAGTCTTTGAAGCAGACCCACCTCTACCCAGTCGTTAAGTTGATTGTGGGACAGGTCCAGCCCTACCACATGGGCACAGAAAGCTGCAATGTCTGACCTGTCACCAGCTTTACTGATTCCACAGTAATTCAGAACCAGTATGCTGGGCAAGAACAGGCGATCTGCAAACAAACTTAGGTAGTTATGCAAACCTTCACACTATACTTCACACTTCCATCATTTTGACATAAAAAAGTAATGCAGGTCTCAGTGATATCAGCGCTCACTTAGCACTGGTGATCAAAACCCTGACATAATTCCCTGCACCATCTCTCACCTTTGACGGGGGATCCTGGCGGTCTGGAGAGAACCATTACTCCTTGGCCATAGGGGAAATTCTCTGGGTTGTATTTCTCACTCATGACTTGGAGGAAGGTGCGCACCTCCTCTTCATCAGAGGACGACTCCATGGTTCCAGCCCTGAGCAGGTATCCAAGGGAGAGAAGGAAGAGAGGTTGCAAACAACACAGTCAGTTCTTTACTTTTTTGAGTTTTTTTTTTAGCTTTGGAATATTTGATTTGATTTACTAACTGTGGAGTCACTACAACAGTTAAACCAGGATCTGGGTATGGAAACGTTCTCCCGTCTGTGGGACATACCCCCAAACTCATTTGTTTCTATTAAAGATTAAAACATGTCACAAATGTACCGTTTCATGTTTAAGGCTCATACATTTTACAAAACAGCTGGGAATTTTTGCTCAAACAGGAAACACTTTATCTGTTGGGGACTATTTTTAGCTACAGACTTAGTGTACTAGTGAGTAGCCTATTTAAATAGGCACTAGGATTGACATGTAGGATCAAGTCAAAATCAACTGTGTTCATGGTAATGAAGGATCACGTCACCCAGTGCAACAGTGTGGCTCAGTGATGTGTTAACAATAACAATAGCAGTTAACAATAGAGCTCTATGGCACAGAGGAATAAGCAACAACAAACTCTGTCTGCAAAGACAAAACTTGTTAGTTGAATCAATTGATATAGAAAAATCAGTTAATACGAAATGGCTTGAAGGGGTATTAAAAATGAATTTTTTCAAGCTTTAGATTTAAAGCTGCAGTGAGTAACTTTGCATATTGCCAGTCTAAATTGCATCCCACAGGAACATTTGAGAAATCCTACAAGATGACATTTACTAAACTAAATGTCATTCTGTAGCAGTGTGAGGATTATCAGATCTAAACAATGTGGCAGTCTATTAATTCACAGATACATATATACATACTGTAGGAGCAACTTCCAGAAAAACTTAAGGCAGAAGGCCTTAAAATACTTTTTTGGGGTAGAGGAAAATCCATTTGAGTGTGCCGCCCAGACGTCAGTATTTACTAAAGAAAAACACAAAGGCAAGGAACGTAAACTAGTGACCTTGTGGCCCCACTTGAAAATGTTTATTACTGCTACTACAAATTAAAAATAAAAGCAGTATTAATAGTAGGTAAAACTCCTAGAAAATAGTAGTAGTAATAATAGAATTAATAATGGTTGTATTTTTAATAACTGGTGAAATTAGTGGTTAATTGTAATTTATTTGTCTGTTTGTTGATCTACACTGTCCCTTTTAAATAAACCCATAAATAATACAGGAATTAAGTAGTAGAAACAGCAGTAGAAGACAAGATCTATTTACTTTATATTCACAGGGTCAACACAGGTTAACACTGTTACACAGGGGGAAAAGTGCAACAGATAGGGCCTATATTTATATTGATATATTTGGCTGAAGCTACTTTGCAGCCTTTTTGAAATCATTGTTAAACAGCTAAACAAATACATGGATATAAAACTGATTAAGTAAAAACAATTGAGCAGACAAAATAGACTGTGTCAGTTTATATGCATGTATGTCTTGTACAGGACTTGACATGGCTGCATCAATCAACCAAATTTGCACCACTGTCAAACCACTTCAAACCATTTCACACCATTTCACTTGTTCTTGTTGATAGATATTTTTGGTTTGGTGTTTTTCTGTGTATGTGTTAGATTAAAAAAGATCTAAAAATAACCCCTCGACATCATAGAATAACCTACAAGACACAGGAGCAGAAACGTGAGAGGCAAAGCAGCACTGACAAGAGCAGGTGCACTGTTGACACCAATGTACTTGGTGAAGCTGAACCACCTGTTGAAAGTCATTTTGTGTTTCTCCATTTTACATCACTGTGGCATGAATATCTTTGAGTTGTGTAATGTTAGTTGAATCAAAAAGGCTATAGGAAGTGGTAAACATTTTTCAGTACTTATGGACATTTTATAAACCAAACAATTGTTGACCAATTAGTCAATATTGAAAAGTAAACAGTAGCAGGCCCAACTGTGTGTTTGACACAAAGAAACAGAAAAAAACAGACTATAGTTTTTGTAATGTAAAATGGTTTTAAATATTCCATTGAGGAATGGGGCAATAAAAAACAGGACTATTATCACTCCAACTATAAATAATTAAAATACAAAAACCATCCTGTCAACTTTGGCAACTAACACCTGTTGGCATGCTGCCAGCTTAGCAACCATTTCTAAAACTCACTGCTGCCCTGCAGTAGAACTAACAGTAGCAGTGGAAGAAATAGCATTAAAGCAACAGAAATTAAGGCAGTAGTAATATCACAGTATCAATACTAATAGGTAGTAGTCGGAGCAGCAGTAGTATCAGTAGTACTGTAAACAATTAAAGCAGTTATTAACGCTTGCCCATACCAAAAGTCATTTTTCCTGCTTTAATGCATGTTGCAAAGATGTTTGTTGTAGTAGGCCATACAATCTCGACCTTGTGTGCCCACACAGCGCCCAGGTGCCCTGGACTCCTCGTCTCGCTTCAACCCTGATCAGCCCTATCACTTTCAGACAAATGGGGTCTGATCATCTTAAACTCAGCCCACCTGATGTGGCGTGTTTGCAAAATGATTGAGTATTGTGTCCGGCCTCTGATGTTTCTGTCACAGATAGTTTCTTGTTTCACAGATCCCCTGATTCAAGCGTCTGATCTTGCAGAGACCAAAGGAAAGCCTGTTTTCAACAACACATCAGATCATGCCTCCTCTCCTGCTGGGAGAAAACGGGGACTTTGATGAAACAAGAACAGCATCTAAAAATAGCTAAACTGTGTCAGGGAACCAGAGAAAACACATTTACATGCATGCAAATATAAAATGCGTTCAACTGCATAAATGGAAGAAAACCTACACAGGATGACTGCCTTTACTACACACCAAAGGGAGTGAAACTTGCATTATAAAGGCTGACAAAGGGAGAGTGACAGCTGGGTTCCTGGCTGGTCCAAGAACACAACTAGCAATATAATAGCTGGGGTTCATTCCAGCACAATGCGCTGACGACAACTTGAAACCTTTCAAAAAGGTCTAATGAACATATGCCAGACAAAGGTGATCCATTATAGAGAGAAAACCATCCATTTAAAACCTGTCCACGTATTACTACCTTTCTGGGGTCACTGGTTACACTACCTGGCTATTTGTTTGAAATGTTTCTTCTTCAGCCTTTTCTTAGATTTGTCACAAAAATACATTATGTTTCCTAGTAAAAGTTCGACTTTTAAAAGTGACGGTGTAACTGTAAGATAGTGGCAGCAATGCCAAACTGTTTTTAAGAGATAAGAGTTTCACAGAAAGAGACAAATAAGAGTCAATTGATGTATTTATGCCGAATTCAATGGCGACCCACAACGATTCATAAAAGGTCATACGCATTACTGTACCTGTTATATACACTTGCTAATAAGCAAGGCCACATTAAACTAACAGATGTTTCAACGGAGTTTGGTGTAACATTCTTCAAGGCAGAGAGACCGGCACGCTCTGGAGGACTGCTTATGACCGAGGCCTGGCTGCCTAATGTCGCTTGTGCAAAAACGAATGGACAAAATAACAAACTGAAAGTGGACATTGTGACAGCAGCGGAGGGTACAGTTTTTCACTTACTCAATGAAGTGACATGTTTCAAGTACACTGTTGTGCAGCAGCGTAGCTACCTTTCAACGTTACATTTAGATCGGGAAAGGTAATAAAATGTTGAGGCTGCTAGAATCTAAGCATGGTCCTGACATCCCAAACTAACGCCACATGTAAGTATTCATGTTGTATTTTGTAACTCACACGGTATATTTTGAGACTGATTGCACTCACCGTCCCCGGAACCCCCTCAGTGTTGTGTTTGTTTTTGTTGTTCTTCGGTTAGTTGTCAGTTTAAGATACGCCTACTTTTCCGGAAATGACGTCGTTTAAATGGCTTGTTTTTTTCCGTCTTCATTTCAAAACGGAGCACAGGAAACATGGCGTTAATTTAAAAAAATTAAAAAATAAAACGAAGAGCTATGGTTTAACATTTTAAATGTGAAAAATGCAATACCACAATGGAAAAATAATCAGTCCTGCATTTATTTTATTTTTTTAGCCAAACTGTTGGTCCTGGGGCATGGTCCTTTAGTGTTAACTTAAAACATTAGTTAGCCTACAACTTTATAATCTGCATTTAGTAATATTTCACTGTTATAATTAAGGTAGCACTACTGGCTGCTGGTACATTAAGCTGTAAAGAAATAGATTTAAAAATCAACTGCAGCTGGCACACAAATGTAGTACAAATAAAAGGGGTTGGCAAAGTTCATCTTTTGTAAAGTATCCTTTTGCATTTGCACAACAGTGACTCATGCAGGTCACAGAAAACATGGAGTTCATCTTCTTGATACTGTAATTTAAATAAAACACAATTAAACTTGTTTTGTTATAATGTCTCCCCTATTATAAATAGTTTTCAAGTACGAGGGAGATCTCTTAGGAAAGAAGTAATTCACAGGTGAAGTTTATGTAATATTGACAAACAAAATTTAAACAACCTTTTGATTTTGACCTTCAACTGATATATAAATAGTTTGACATGTGTTTGTATTCATCCATTTTACTTTTTTACTCAAGTAATTTCATCAAGGTATTACTTAATTTAGTATGCAACAGAAAGCAACATTTCACAGTAGCTGTGGTGGAGTGGGCCTACCATATGCTACCACTAGGTGACAGTCATGTCATGTGTGCAACGAAAAGGTTCAGTTGTTCCTCCTCGTTTCCTACTACAGTGTAAAACAACAGTGGGAGACTACCATGTATGTGGAGAGTGATGCATTAAGTAGCCTTTTACAGCTGTAGCTGGTCGATGTGGAGCTATTTAATATACAGTTTGGTAGTTCAGTTTTCAACCTTATGCTTAAGTCCATCTAGAGGGTCACAAAATAAATCTGAGAGCTCAAGATGATTAATGGGGTAGAAAAAACAACAACAATGTTCTGCAATAAAACTCTCTAAATTTTAGCTTTTTTCATGAAATATCGGACCCTCACCTTTTCAGAACTTGAACAATAATTGAACAAAGATTTGAGAACTTTAGAGGGGAAATGTGTTTTTGTTGGAACTGCCAACAACTCATAGACAACAGAAATGCGACAAGGGGCCCTAAGTAGTAGCCTAATAGTAGTCGTAGGCCTAGTAGTTTCTTTTTGCACAAGCCAAAAAGGTTGGAAACCACAGGATTCATCTTAAACAGTGCATTGTATTGTTCAGTAGGTTTATCATGTAACAACAACAACAAATAAACCCGTTATCTAAAATGTCAGTAGGAACAGCTGTTACATAACTGTAGTGGAGTAAAAATATGATACTTCTTTCTAAAATTGTGGTGGAGTAGAATTATTAAGTACCATAAAATGGAAATATGTAAGTAAGAGTCAGTAGAATAGACACACTGGATTAGTAAGAAAAGCACCGGTGTGGCAATATAACAGCATGTCCCAGTAAGCCATGACAGAGTGTAAAATACCAGGACCCTGAAACTGAAGCCCAGGATTAATTAATTAATTATTTACATTTGTGGTTTTCCCAGTGGTCTGTTTTTCTGATATGAGATCTCTGATTTGGCCCTGTGCTCTGACTGAACAGAGCGGCCATTTAAAGTCAACAAGTTCATGGTTCACTTTTCTCAGTTATAGGTGACAACTCCACAGAACCCAACAGTGTCTCGCAAGATGATGCCAAGGTAAAGAGGAGCAAGAAAAAGGGCAGCAGTGACAGAGAGGAGCTCAGTGAGAGGAGGAGGGTCAAAGAAGACACCACCTTCTCCCCCACAGGACATCAGCTTTGGGGCCTCTTCATCAAAAAACTGAGTTTACCAAAGTCAGTTGGATTCATCCTCAGAGGACCATGCACGTCTCTAAAGAATTTCAAAGAAATATCCTAAAATAAATTCAAATACATAAAAAGAAGATGTTGAGAGATTTCAGTCTGGACCAAAGGGGTAGACTTTCTTAAAACTTTTTGGAAGAAACTTGTGTTCATCACATCCCTGTAGACCCTAAATTATGCATTTTCAATTATATGGATGGTCAGAGTTTAAAAAAAAGATAACAATTAACATATATTGTCTTTGTAGAGCTGATTTTGAAGCCAGAAAACACATTCCTCAGGAACTTGTGGCATGCAAACTACTAGTTCTTCAAAATTAACATCTTAAATAAAACATCTTTTCAATTTCACGTCAGTTAAATGAGCATAACGTTACTTCAGGCAGGCTCATAGCTGATTCCCCTCTTAGCATCCATTGGCAAATCTCATACAAGGCACCTTCTTTAAGCTGCTTTAGCCTGCCTATCCTTGCTGCTTCCTTTGCAAGCCGCTTTGCAACCTGCCTCCACCCCAGCTCCTCCTTTGATGCTGTGTCTGACTAATCAATGTAATTTCCATCAATAATGCCTGCTCTGTTCTCTACCCTGGAAAAAAGGCAGGGAAGTGTGCTCTCCCAGAACAGAGACATACATACCAACAAACATAACTTACTGCAGATCAAATGAAAGTTTCCTTGACTCGGGTGGTCCTGACTGAACTGATTTTATTGTATTTCATATTGATCATATTCATATCATGATCATTATCATCCATCTGCTTCTTCAGATGAAGAACAGGGGAGGTGTCTGATGGCCATCTGGAGGTGGCTCAAATGTTAAAATGGTGGACTGGAGTCAGCTCGGAGCTCTGCAGCCTTGACCCTCCTGAAGTGGTATGATCTGGAGCGGATCTTGGTTCTGGAGAGACCAGTCCCCTGGACCTCAGTCAGTATACCTTGAGGAAAATAGAGGCTTGCTACAGAAACTGAGACTTTCTCATGCATCACAGTAGCTGCCACTTTAAATGTTGCTTTCTCTTCATATTGTCAGGAGTTTGTGCAGATGTGTCTGTCCAAAGTCCCGAAGCTGCACCCCATCCATGGCTCAAATAATGCAGCCAATAGATTAAACAAGGCAATCCAAATGTGTTGTTTATACCTAAACAGTAGTGAGTGAGTCCTCTGTCCTCACAGCGTGGCTGCAGTTAGTTGTGCTACATTCAGACAGTCATGCTGATTGTAACACAAAGCAGCTCCGCTGCTGTGGTCTTCAACCAGTGATCCTGGGAGGACATTTTATTGAGTTTATTTACCACATGGAGTTTTATTTTAGATAGATGGCGACTTCTCCTTAATTTACTGTATGTGTCATAGAGTGATTTTCCTCTGGTGTTTATACATCTATATATATATTTGTTTACAAAATGATTGGATTATGGTACAACATGCCCTTGCCAATTAACACATACTGTTGTTTTGTTAGTTATTTAACACGTTTACACACATAATAAGAGTAATACTGTATTGTGTTTTAGGCTTGGTATTGAATGTCAATACCAATTAAAATGTTTCCATAGCATAGCTGCCAGGAGAATTGATGTCATGGCCAAGGATGTCAAGAAGCGGCTCTCTCAAAGATTAAAAGGCTATCTTAATAAAGGGTGATCAGATTCGAACCACTGTTATTTGCGCGTCTCCAGGACAGCTGAGGCAAAAGGCATCATCATCTTAATAATATGCCTCTGCCGCCCTTCATCTGACCATTTCACCTGTGCATTCATTCGTCTGTTTTTCTTTTTTTTTGCCTTGGCAAACCAAGAGACCTGCTAAACTAATGTTAAATGTCCTTGGTAGTGTAGCAGTTCCAGTTGGTAAAAGTTCAACACTAATAAGATGTAATGTTTGTCCTCATTTTCTAAGATGCTTTCCTTCATTGAACTTTCTTAAAAATGTAATAAAATCTTATGGATCATTACTTCAACTATGTCATGTTTCAAAAATACTTCCTAATAAAAAGTACAGAAAATGTATCTCTATTAAGCTATATCAAGCCACTCAACATTTCCTTACACCACGAATGGCACTGTCAACAGTTGTGGTTTCAGTACAGGCCTACCACTTCCTTCACATTAAAATGCTTTCCTGACTCTAAAGCAAGCTCTCCTGAGAGCTCTTTACAGAACAGGTCACTTGTCACTACAGGGGAAATGGTTACTGTCTTCAAACTGGCCAACAAAGTGGCTGTTTTCATTGAAAAACCGAAAATATGGGAGAAGAGAGCTATGCGGGGTGTCTTTGAGAGGTTTCAGAGATATTTTGTCACAGTAGCTGAAAGAGAGTGGGAGTTCACACATGTCACAGCTGGTGTGTGATCATTTGAGAGCCCTTTTGGATGGGTTTGACCACTATTGCACTGCAGACCATTCCTATAAAGGTAAGAAAACACTAGATCTGAATTAAGAAATGTAAATACACAGTCAGGTTAGTCAGAGTTTTCTCTAAGCTGTTAAAGAAAGTGATGTCACCATTGTATAACAAGCAGCCCTGCAGAGATCCTGGAAACGCTCTCATAACTGACCTGAGGACTGTTACAATTAGGCTAATCCTCATGTTGTTATCTCAGTGCTGGGATTAATTTGTGAAAGCATGCTATATACTGTATGTGCAAATAAATTAACAGACAGGGCACACATGAGTTTAGGTTATGACATTTTAACAAGAGTATTCAACAATACAAACAAGGTATGGCACACGGTGTGAGTCAGGAGGTGCAGAAAGAGCGATGATGAGCCGGGACAAGAGGGTGTGGCCAAATACTCTCCTAATCCAGAATTATCCTTTGAGTCAGTCCTGGCCACAGCCAGATTATTCTACCAGTACTGTCTGTGGGACAGAGGGGACTATAAACAGAGTCAGACGAGTCCACAACCAGCTGCTGGATCTTGGAAAACCCAAAACTTATTATAACAACTGGGACCACCGCTGAGACACATGGCTCTCCTGAGGTCGGGCTGGCTGTGGAGACAGAGTGAGTAGATATAGGATTTTAAATTTGTTTGTTTGTTTTTTTCTACATCTATCATGGGGGAATTATAGCTTTGGCTGTTATAAGAAGGAGCATACAGTCAAGATTTTATTAATTTGAGTGCTGGCAACAACTTTCATTATCAATTATTCCTTTTAATAAGTTTATCAAATAAAAATGCCAAAAAATTGTAGGTTACAATTTCTCCAATGTGAGGATTTTCTGCTTTTCTCTCTCATCATTATCATTTTTTTTATTATTGTAAACTTTTGTTCAGTAAGCTGTTGTTTTTGACATAATAAACAACTGAAAGTTGACATCTTGGGCTCTCGGAACATGTGAAGGTTTGTCCTTTGTTGCATGCTTACAATGACAATGACATGCAACATGGTTGCCATGTGTGTTGCGGTTTATGGTCAGTACTTTGACCCCTAGGCCACCAAAGTGCCCCATTTTCTGATATTAAATACTGAATGTTAGATGTAGCTTGAAGCCAGAGCAGCAACTGTAACCAAGACAGTGCATCTTATACAACACGATCATGACAAGAAAGATGTTCTTTAGTTAACTAGTAAGCAACACCTTCTTAGCCACAGTATTTTTCACAGATTTCTGAGGAGCAATTCGATACATAATTACATTTACGGCTTTGTTTTTTAAAAAGCACTCCTTTAAAAATTTTAAAATACAACTAAGCAAAAGTTTATTATGCGTGCTATAGACCAACCAATAGTGGATTATTGAGGCCAATAGAGCTTAAAATATCAATTGATATATTAACAAAAAAATTGTCCTAATAATACTGACAGAATAGAAACTGTTTTTAAATAACTCATATAGATTCTTACTGCAATTTATTTCTTGACATATATGCTGATACCAATATATCTGTGATAAGATAATTTTAGGCCAATTTATCATCCAAGATTTATTGGTCATGCTCAAATATATGGTTCTATTTGGGTGGTTTTACAATTTACCTTAAATTCGTCATTAAGTATAAATTCTTGGACTTCAAACAGGTAATAGGTATGCTGAGAATCTTCTAGAAAGTGAAAACAGTACTTGTTATGAAACGCAAACCTTTGCACCTTATAATCCCATTAATTGTCCCTGGCCATGTCTTTAAGTGGATTACTCAGGACAGTCAATGAGAAAGTATCTTCTTGAATATAGATTACATCCAAAAGACACAACTACAAAACAAACAGTGACTGACTTCTTACCTATTCAGGTTCTTCATTGTAGCACTGACTCCACACTGACTTTATCAACCCTCAATTTGAGGTCAATTTAACATTTTTACTAATCTTCACAGCCCTTTCAAGGACAACCACTAATGGTACACTGTGACATGTGTCTCCTCTCTAGCTTCTGTCCTAAAACGCTGGAAGTTAAACTGGTGTGACCTTTGGATAGACGGGAGTCTTTGCTTCTACAAGAATGACAGTAGGCGAGAGTTGGAGCACCGCGTCAGCCTCAAGACAGCATGTGTAGATGTGAGATCTGGCCTGGAATGTGGAGGTAAAGCTTTAACCTTTTCAGGAGGTCCATCATTTAAAAAAAAAAAAAAGTATTTTGAGCGAACAAAGCTTAAAGCTGTACTAATCAAACTCCATTCCTATCAGCCTTATCAGCAGTCGGCTGACTTCATGTAAAAAAAACTTAGTGAAGAATTTAGCAGCTCAAGAGCCAAATATTTCCCCCAGGAGTTGGTGGAGACCAAAACAGAGCTGAGAGGAGAGTAAATATGAGACTTGCATTTGTGTGGTGGCCAGTGACAATGCTCAAATGGACAATTGTTTGCCAAAACATTCACCTTAAAAACTTGTAAAGTGAAAACATGGCAATGCTGTGTTTTGAGTTTGTTCCACTGCTCCCAAGTGGCAAAAAAGTACCAATTTGATGTCCCAGAGTTTACAAACATACCAATAATGTCCAGCGGAGTTTCACAAAATGGTATAAAATGATGCACAGAACATGTAGAATACTTCCATGCAGTGTTGAAAGCAAGCATGGAAAAAGGAACGGTGGAGTCACAGTTCACCAACATGGACAGAAGGAAACTTTCTATCAGGGCTGGGTGATACATCTGAAATCAATATCACGATGAACTTTTCCAATATTGATATTGATTATATATTGAAAATCATTTTGCTCTCTTTTTATGACATTTAATTGTCAGTAGCTTTCTAAAGTCACTTGACTGACATTTCACGGCGCAGGTATTTTCATCTCTGTGTATGTAGTATACTGTACACAATTAGTATCTATTATGAAACTGGGACAAACCCTTTGTTTGATGATTGCTCTGCAGGGGCATTTAGCGGCCAAGCAGTATGAGACCATTTAACAGAATTAGATGCCCCTTACAATGCAAATACTGTTTCTTTACCAAATGTCCTTATGCAATTATAACAATACACACAGCTTAAAAAAAACAAAATTAAAATGAACCAAATTCGTGACCTCCCAGTTATCAGATTGTTACATTCCTTAGTCTTTTTATGGACTAGCGTTAAAACATGACAACTTCACTGAAGCTATTCAGAAGGCTTGGCCCATCTATTCATTAAGTAATGACAATGCAAACATGTCCCTTTTGTGAGTACACACATCTTAATGTTGATTCACAGCAGTTACCCCAATCAGAAAAAATCAATGGTTTCTTCAAATTTGTGTTTGTAAATTTTATAAAAAGGTGAACATCCACATGTTTCACGTCTAAGTGACTGATTCTTAGTTTAATCAGATATACAATAGTCCACATATCATCCAAATTTAAACATATTGTGTGATAGGTAGGTTTGACTTAACAGATGACCGGTGAAAATATGCAAATGTTTGGGTGAATTACTTTTTTACCTTGTTTTTTGGGCTGCAGATGTGACTCCACCAGAGAGTAATCCCAGAGAGAATTGCATTGTGGTTCAGCTCAAAGACGGCTCAACAGTCAATCTGTGTGCAAACAGTGAGGATGAATCCATGTAGGTACTCTCACTTCACGCTCATCCTGTCCGCTCTGCGTCCTGTTGCAGCTCCATACACATTACACTCTATCAGTTTTTCATTCCTGTTCGTGTCTTTTTCAGAGCATGGAAACTGACTCTGCTGGACACCAAGAGAAACCCGGTGAGTAATACTGTGTTGAAACATGATCTGTTCACTCTCACTGGTGGTTGGTATTTCCACCTCAGTGCTAAAAGTAGCATTTTCTTTCTGTAGGTGTTCACATACGACCCATATGATGACTCCTACCAGGCTGTTCCTATCAACAGCCATCATACTGTCTACATCACACCTGGAGCAGGACCAGGTATGTTACCAGTGATGCAAAGCAATACAGGATTCAGTATTTCCCCACTTTTTTTTTTTTTTTACCGGAATTAGAAGGTTGGAAGCAGCATTTAGACCTTCATGTTTGGAGAAAAAACTGCAGAAAACATCATTAACTGCTTAACTTCACAAATAAAATATTAAAAATCTAAATATTTAAAAATATTTATATATTTTTTGGTGCAATGGAGGATGTACTGTGTACTTCTACTTCACTACATTTCATTTTATACAAAAATATTGTACTTTTTAAGCCTCTATATTTATCTTACTTAGTTAGTAGTTGCTTTACAGATTCATATTTTACATACAAGGCCCCTACAAGCTGAAAAATTAAAGCGCTACTTACACATATAAGACATTAGTAACAGTAAAACAATAATATACATAATATATGACTCTGAAAGGGTCCTTTCTGCATAATGAGTAGGGCCTATTCTTACTTTATACAGTTTAAGTGTATTTTCCTGATAATACCTGTTTGCTTTTATTTAAACACAAATTTTAGATTTTTACTTGGAAGGAAGTATATTTTACACTGTGGCACTTTTACCTTAACGTAGAGTATATATTCCACCACTATTAGTGGTATTCAGTGGGCTTCACAGATAGTGTTGTGAGCAGATTTAGTGGAGCTCTTAAGCAAATCTGTAGTAGTACAATATTACACAATTCACCAAATCAACTTTCAACTATATAACTACAGTACATTTTTCATGTTATTATTATTATTATTTAATTCTTTTTTTTTATCAATAAATTGCCCTGAACCACTGACAATCTGAATGTGACGGTGCTCCTTTAAAAACATTCCATTCAACAATGACCACCAAATTCTCTTCTTCTCATCCTTATTTGCATTCTCTTCCCCTGCATGGTCGAACATCTAAATTCAACATAATCCAGCGGAATGCAATACAATTTCGATATCTGTATAATTATTGATGAAATCTCCAAGTTTTCCCTCTTTTGAGCACCCCTTTTACTAGTTTTAAATGTATTTCAAGGTCCGCCACATCTCTCACTCTTTCCACGTAGTTGTACCTCCACATACCCGCTGGGCGAGTAGCCTAATTAAATTGTGGGGCATTTGATTTGTGTCACGTAGCATGTACGTCGGGAGATGCATTAAATCAGTCCTAATAATAATAGCAGTGGGCCAATGTGTGCAAAAATAATGATAAAGTAATGTGTATTGTAGCAGGAAGATACACCAACAGCAGTTCCGTCCAATAAAATGTGTTTTGCCAAGAAAGTCTAATCTGTACATGTGAGTGCTTTGAAAACAGATGAAAACAATTTTAATTGTGATATTAAGCTTTAAAGAATAAGCCTCCTTCTGTTTGTGCATCTCTGATTTCAACCTGGATTGTGTGAAACAAAGGATTTTAAGGCATCTCTGTGGAAATAAAACCAGAATTATTGTGTAAATACTATCACCAGGCCCTATTTAACCCTGTAGCTTGGGATCCCTATCAGCACCCTGGTTTGTCCCAATTTCTGTGCATTGTGTATGTATCCTGCTACCTTTAACTTTCCATCAGGCACACAGCAGACTTCACGGAACAGTTTAATTTAATTTTTTATATAACATTAAATTTTATTTTATTTATTAATACCTAAAGCCTACCAGTACTTCAGATCCGGATATTAACTGGCCTCAGGTTTACTGTGTGTCAGTTTGTGGTAATTTTGTATAACACAGATTGTTATCACAGGATGAGGTAAAAACGCCGGAGCTACCTGGTAAAAGTAAAAAAAAGAGTGTGAGTTTGCTGCCCTTCTAATTCAGAGTTGACCCCCTGAGTTCTTCCCTTACTATGATTTGCCAAACATGTATCAGTCAACAAGTTGACCATAAATATTAAACGTGTCTTCCCTGTGTCTTTTCTAAGGAACCCACCAGGTGGTTGTTCAGAGGGACCCATTTGATGGAGTGTTAGATAATCTAGCACTGGGATTACTGGCAGGCATGGCAGCAGGAACAGCCATGCGATCCTTCCTCTGGATGCCCTTCTTTTTCTGCTGAGATGATCTCCATTACTGACATGACAACTCCTGCACACAGACTGTCTGTCCCCACACACTGGGGGCCTGTGCGAAGAGGCTTTTACTTTTTACTAGGTCTACCTCCCAAAAACCTTCATTTTTTGTTATCGTCTCTTTTTAAATCATATCTGCTTTAACACTTTGGCACTTTTGCATATAAGACTTTCATATTAGCTGAAATGGTTGCTATGTAATTACATGCTCTACCTGCTTGTTTATATAGCACACTGAATCTACCCATGAACAATTGCAAATGTCAGGAAGTCCATTTTGTTTCTTAATGTTCTTTTATCAGCTGTCTGAATTTTCCACTCAACAAGCTTAATAAAAGAGTTAGGTGCGTCGTGTGTACAAGGAAATACATGTATGTATTAAAATCATCATTTGGTTGACTACAACAAACAAACCATAAATATTCATTTTCAAATGATTGCTTGAAAGTTGAGGAAAAAGCTCAACTAGCTTTTCCCCGAGCTCTCAACCATATAATGAGTTCTTCATCTGTGGATGGCACTTGCTTAGTTTTAGATGTGTAACTGTTATAATTTAATGTATAGCATTTTCTCCCTTAAAATTTAAGGGAGATGGAAATTTTATCAGTGGATGTAGTCAAAACAGCCTACATCCACTGATAAAAAGGGGGAAAGGTGTTTTATTCTCATACTAATGATGATTCAATCACCTCAACAGAGACAGAACATGAACCGTGTAATTGATATGTAACTGAAATATTTTATCTTATATATTTTTTGCATCCATGTTTGTCCATCCAATCTGTAAAGCTTGTGTTCTGGTGCAGAAACACTGAAATTATAGCAAACTGAACTAAATGCAATAACTGAAGCGTGTTCCAGCTGTCACTGATACTATACAGTTGCAATGCAAGAGATTTGTTCTGTCATTACAGTCTTATACTTACAATCAGTATTATTGTACATGAACAATGCCTGCAGAACTTGAAACCAAAGAACCAAGAAACTTGACTAATGAGTAAACTTGTAGCCTCATCATACCATGTTAGTTTCATCAGGGGATGGTTGCACAAAGGTTGGTCTACTGATAGAGTCCAGTCTACTCTAGACTAATCTAAAGTGATTTAAACTGCTTAAGGATAGTAGCCACCCTACTCCAGTGTTATCAGAGGAGCTGTGTCCAAGATAACAATTACTGTTGCACAGATGTTTATCCCATAACTCTGACTTTTTGAATGTGCTGACTACAGCTTTTAAACTGTTTACTCTCATGCTATCTGCCTCCTCGTTTATTTTCTTCAGCTATTGCTGCTGTAAATTTTCCTGGTAAAATGGCCTTATAATTGCTAAATTTCACCAGAAGGCACAACCTTTCTAAAGTAGGGAAAAGAGCCTTAAAGGAAAAGTCCTTTCATTTTCAATCTGGGTCTTAAGTAAACCTCTATGCAGTTAGCTAGCTGATCAAGTCAGCTAATTTGTAGTTCTGGTTTACTTTCAGTCAGACTATGAAAGTTTGAAAGAGAAATAAGAGGCTTGCACTGCTTACCCCGATATACATATTTTTGCCGTAGTTGCGTTTCCGGTATCTCTCTAACAAAAGTGCAAACTTAGCATGACATTGGGAATTGTTGAAAAATATAATTTTCCTTTGAAGCAGTTTTCAGATTCAGTCTGATCTTATAAAATTGAACTACTTGTTAAATCTAAGATTTAGTCAAAATCGACCCTGACACCAGTCCCAGGTCTTAATCATAAAGTCAAACTCCCATTCACACAGTGTCACTGATAGTGTTGCCCCTCCAGTAGCTCCAGCCTTTTGATGCTCCTCAAGATGCTCCACAATAGCTAATTTGGCAAGTACAGGAACTCAAATTATGATCCGATATGTTTTCCAGCTAAATATAGGTGTTGCACATTGTCTTTACAAAAATAGTGATCACTTTCAGCAATTAATCATAATTTCACTTTCTGTTACTCCTCCTTACATGTGACTCCTCTCTCAGCACATCCATTCACTTGCCATTGACCCTTCACTCTGTCATCTCCTAACTTTCCCTCGGCTCGAAGTTTCCGGATCAGATCATGGGGACCCTTCCCCATTAGAGCTGAAGGATGCCTGTAGGAGCCTCCCAAGCGGTCCCACAGAGTGAAGTATTGGCCGTAATTGTAGTCGAAGAAGAGGTGATGGTCAGTGTGGTGAGCTGAACCATTGATGACAGGAGTCAGAGCGCCGGGGACACGATAGTCACCGTCGTGGATAGAGATGGTCCAGATGTTGACGAAAATGTAAAGGGCCAGATAGAGCACCTTGTGAAGGGGGAAGAAGAAGGGGTAGATGTGGTATGGCAGTCCCTGCATGAAGCCGTCCACTGGATGAAAGGCATGGCTGGCAAAGGGAGTGGGGATCTTCCACAAGTGGTGTGGTTTGTGAAACAGCTGTTAGGAGTAAGAGAGCAAAGAGGTCAGAAAGATACTGCTCTCTCTAAAAGGCTATATCACTGTGACTTCACAGAGTACGGTCTAGACCTGCTCTTTTATGAAAGCGCTCAGAGATTACTGTTGTTGTGATTTGGCGCTATATAAATAAAGTTGAATTGAATTGAAAAACTTTACTTCACACGTGTATAACCTCCATTTGTTTTTGGTAATTAAAGTGAATTGATTGAAATGATTAAAAGTGTCAAATGGTGACCATGCTAAAGAGAACTCTATCAATAATGAAGATAAGAGGAGATGCAGTGAATGCAGGTTAACATGTGCTGGTAACAGCAATAAAGATGCCTTTATTTCTCTGTTGTTTAAATTTGATTTCCTAATGGTTTACAGACTAAATGACAGAACACTAGGTTATACTTAAACCTTATGTCTTGTTTGGGATCCTGGAAACTCCTGGTCCTCTTTAACATACTCGACATAGATATATTAGCTTAATACAGGATTACTTTTCCTTATTTCACCCCATATCCCTGATGTAAAACATAGTAAAATATGGATTTCTGTTATTGGGGTTTTAAAACAGTTTGTTATAAGGTGTGATTACAATGTATTAAGGTAATTTCTGTAGTTTGTCTCCTTAATCAAATGTGAAAGCCCAGTGGCAACAAGAAGGGTTACCACTTCAGTACATTTCTACAAATTGAGTTTTAATAGAGTCGGAAGAAAAGAAAAAATACTACAAAGAAAAGACAATTGGTTGATTTGGCAATTGCAGTTGTTATTTTTAAACATACAGCAGTTGAGAGTGTGGGACCCCAAACAATGAGGGCGTAAATGAAACGAAACCTGCATAAATAAAACCACAATGATCTGCACGATTTGATACCAAGAAAATGTGTTTTTAGGGATTTGGGTGAATTAACCCGTATATATAAAATGTATTATAAAATGTGATTTGGACCCATATCTATGATTCAGTAATTATACTGTGTTGATGTTAAATTCATTACATAGCCTTTTAAGCAGCTGGAGGGGTGAACTTAATAAATTAAAAGAAAGCCTTTTACTCACTTTGTAAATTAGCTTATGATGTAGGAACCGATGAATCCAGTAGATACACATATCAGTGAAAAACAGGAAGGAGATCATACTCAGGAAGAGCCCAGGCCAACCTGAAAGCACACCATGTCACCTCCCAGAACTTAAGTCTGATGACAAATGCATGGAAAGAACAAGATTACAGAACAAATGAAAGCTGCTGAAGTAATTCTGCAACTTACCCAGCGAAGAATCACTGACATTGTCGTACAGTTTGCTGTATCCTCTAACTTCAGCGAAAAACAAGGCCACTGTGGGAATGCTGATCCAGGGAAGAGAGGTCATCGCATATTTGATCTCCCTCTGAACCTGATTCTAAGAAGGAAAATAATTAAATATACATGTCAAATAACTGCTTAAATAAATAAGAAAGTAGTGAAAAATAAAGAAAGGAATGAACAAACATAAGAAGATACAGAGGCTGTGTATAGAAGGCTTTCTGGAGACAATTAGCATCCATGGTATAAACACTGAAATGTAATGTGATAATCAGAGCTGAAACCTGTGGCTGTGTGGACGTTCCACTTCATTGTTTGTGTTATTATTGTATTTGATTGGTTTAATTTATCTTTAATAGAGTGTCTTGGTTCCTGTTGTGACCCTTTAGCAACACTGGCTGAGGAAGGCTAACTGTGTCTGAACACTCACAGAAGACTGGTAATTTTCTTTATTTTTCTTGTCTGCAGCAAGTCCTATGAAATGACCAAAACCAACAATGAATTTATCACACTAACAAGTATTGTCTGTCTCTCCACAGCATGATATAGTTTATTTCTCTGTGTCATAGACCTCCTTTGTTGTCCAAAAACAACATAATTGAGCCACCCTGTTGCACTGGATGACATGTTCCTTACACACACACACACATACTGTAGTTTATTTGGAGTCAAACCAACATACACTGTTCAGCAGCGGTAAACACTCACTAGCACACCACATGCGTGTTAATTCACAGCTGAAAATATTCCCCAACAAATGCATGTGTATGTACTCCGGTTGAACACTACCCAGCTGTTTTAGAGAATGAATTAACTTTTTTTGCAGATGAAATTACAAATTTGTGACCTGTTTTCTTCAGTAGGGATTGAATGGGGTTGGAGCCGAGCTCACGTACAGGACAGGGAAATCGTAAAGTACTGAGAAACAGCCCAAACTCTCAATTAGTTTTGCTCTTTTCTTGTGGCATTTGTTGACAAAACAAAGAAAAACAGAATAAAACCTTAACCTTTAAGGTTGGTGTTAAACCTCTTTCTCAAACTTTCTTTTTCATTCTTTACACAACTACAGCACTTCAGCTGAGTGCAACCCCATGAATGTATCAAGATTACAGAGATAAACAAAGGAGAGAGATGAAGGAGACAGTGGAATATAGCAGGGAGATTATGACAGCCTTCGATGTGGCCATTCAGAACAGGTGTAATCATTTTAGCCATGGTCAAACAACACAGCTTACAACTAGTTCATTGGGAGCACAGTGAGGCCTTTACAACACTACAT